CCCCAAAACCCCAAAACCCCAAAACCCCAAAACCCCAAAACCCCGTATAGTCAAGATTAGTTAAAAATCTGAGTTTACTTGCAGAAAAAACAAAAAATGTCATTAATTAAGTATTGTGCTATTATGCGGCACTTTTAATAGCCTCATTAGTATTAGTTCAATTACTTGAATCTAAATGCTCATTTGTTTCTGCTGTTCATTTAGCTGATGATCATATCATTAACATTAGCACTGTTTTTGTTTACAGGTTCAAGCTAAACGAAGGACTCAACCCAGTCAACTGAATGCATAGTATTCTAGGCCTAATTGATTCTTTTAACCATCTGTTCTCTTTCCTGCTTTCTCTTATTTTTCTGGTACTTAGTCTTCTCATGTCTTATTTAGATAGGGTCTATATGATCTCCCATATACTTAGCAATTTTCTTATTTCCCAATTAAGAATCTTTAAAAAGATCTACTGCCTCTAAAAATCTTTTGTAATCTTACTCACTCCACTTTTTCACGAATTTTTGCTGGTATTATGAAGGCGACTCATTTTATTGAGTAAAATTGTTGCTATCTGCAGGTGAAATCAAGTGATCCTTTTCTTCAATAATATTTGACTTGTGATTTTTACTCTCTTCGCAATGCTTTAGTTTTTCCTTTTTCTCAACTATCACACTTGATTGACTCTTTTTGAGAGGTTACTTGTTTTTTGAGTTTGTTTTGGTAAGTTTATTTGCAGATTCATTTCTTGATAAATTCAAATCATCATCAATCAATTCCTCTACTAGATCTAATTCTCGACTATCCAATTCTACCTCTTTATCAAAAGGATGATTCTAGTGTTATCGAGACTGAGTCTAATTTTCATGGAATACTTTGTATGCTTATATTACATTATTTATTTTATTCTGAGTCCATGGAGTTCCAAAAGGCTATAAAGTCAAGTTGTCAAGATTTTCAGATTTAAGAATAGCTCTGTTTTTGCTGCTAGTCTTAATAACTTTGGCCATGTACTTCATAGCTGTCTTTCCCTTAGTATTTATTAAAATTCTATTCTAGATTTAGTATATGTAGCCAATTACGATGTCTTTTGCTTCTTATTACCCTTGCTAAAATACATGTTTTGTGATTTTTGTTATAAGTTGAGCCAGATCAAACATAGTGATATCTTCTTAATGTATAATGCACTACCATCCATGTGAAAGTACATACTAGTCTATAATCACCATAATGTTACTTAAGATTATTTTATCAGATAATGTCATTTTATCAAATGATGAAGGAAGCTTCTGGTCAGGATTAGCTTTCAAATCATTTGAGAAGCTCTCTGAGTTAATGATTTAAGCATTTACCCAGTCTTATAACTTCTAAAAAGTATCGTAATTTTCTAATGTTTGTTATGCACTTAACTTAAGGGCTGCCATGTCCCTTTTTTTCTAATGATTTTTTCGCTTCATAGCACTCTAGCTCATTTTACTTCCTAAAGGATTATGATACTCCATGACATCGTCTCCTTCAAAGCGCATGCTGAACATTGGTCTTTATCTTAAGTTATACTTAGTGTTAGTTTCTCTAAGTTTTGCTTGAAAATCGTAGTCATCGTTAATTAGAGAGCTCAGACTAGTATCTGAATTGTAATTTTGATCATCCTTTCCATTCTAATTCATCTGAACTGCTTCAACAATCTGCTAACTATAAAAACCTGTAACCTTTGGATTTCTAGTACGCTTTCCAACTATTTAATAGGAATTAGATTAAGAAATACATACTTTTAATATTATCGATTTCGTCATCATACTCAATACCACTAGAAATAAGCATAGAGTAGCGACTACTATGTTTTAGTTCTCCTGTAGAAGCCTTTCCATTGCCGATCTCATCATTTAACCTTCTTACTAAATAATGATAATGAAAATTTTATAGATAAAACAAAGAATATTTTATTAATAAGTGGCTTATTAGTAGGTACTTACATTTATTCTTTTTTTCCTTAAAACTCAAAAACATTATAAAATTTTGCAATAAAAATTTCTATGTCTCTGTAAGCGAGATCTAGCAATTTACAATATGCGCTAAGTAGAAATTATATAATTATGGTATCAGTTTAATGTCGATGGTATGCCCTTTTCTGTAATGATTTATTGAGTGCAATTCGTATGTTGGCCTGATATAAGATTTACATTAAGTATCATTTATATTACTTTAGATGATCAGCCCTTTTCTGAATCTTTTGCTATTTTATTTTCTCTTAGAAGGAATCTTCTTTTTCCTCAACTTCTAAACTATCATCGCATTTAACCTCTTCAAGTACGAACTAACTAAAAGTCTATTTCCCTTTTTCATCGTTAGCAGCGCTCTATGGCATTGAGTCAGATTTAGTATCATTTCCATTTAAATTCACGTGAGGATTTCTCAAATGTCTGCTTTCCTCGATGTATCGTTTATAAGAGGCTATGGCCTTCTAATTTTGCTTCATTTTCTTTTGCTCATTAATATCAAGCGGGGCGAATGATTAAGTTGGTTGCGTTGATGGTAATGCCCCAAGACTCTCCCCAAATTAATCTCTGAGTTTTTGCACTATGCCTTAATGAACATCTGACGATTTAATCCAAAGATTGGGCTCAAGCCTGATGTATGACATTATAAAGTTGATAAACATCTCAAAGTTCATATTGTTCCAGTCCTAAATTCGAATGATGATTTTAATACTGATGTGCTTACCTCTTTAGGTTTAAGAGCTAGCTCAATGATAAAGGTTTGTAGCTCGTAAATAGCAATGGAGGCTCTCTCATTTGGGTTAAGTTCAGTCATTATTAGTCTATAAAGCTCTTTCAGGCATTAAGGGTTTAGGGAAACTTTATCCCCCACTTTCTACTTGCCAACCTTCATAATTTTCTTCTTTAAGCTGTAGCAGAGCTCCTCCTTCATAGCTTGGAGTTGGCCTTACTCTGCAAGACCCTAAGAGTCATCATTTTGGATCGTATTTAGGTTGACAAATTCCTGCTAATTTGTGAAAGTTTGAGCTGAAGTTATAAAATCTCGCATTCAATTAATAATCAATAAATGTATTGTTAAAGTATATTATATTCTTTAATAGAAAAATCGCGTTCAGTATATAGTTTCTTAAATAGTCAAAACTTGACATGCATTGAGGGGTTTTGGGGTTTTGGGGTTTTGGGGTTTTGGGGTTTTGGGGTTTTG